TCGTGTAGCCAAATGAATGTGGCTGTCCGCTGTGTCTTCAGCTCCAGGCCTCGCTTCGTCAGCGAGTCCTGAATGATGAAGTTGTTAGCGTTGGCTCCCAGCTGGCGCCGTAGATGCAGGAGGGCTTGGATGACAAACCCCCGGCTGTCTGCGTGGAAAATGACGTCCACCATGGCCATGCCCTTGAAGCGGCCCACCTCCGTCAGCTTTAGGGTCGGTGCAGCCGCCCGGGTGTCCAGCCACGGTGAGATGTCAACCCCAATCTCCGCGTACTGATTTCTGGCGCGGAGTGACTGCCTCAACTTCTGCGGCAGTTGCTCAACTAGCGAAGGCTTTGTCCGCACCAAGAGCCGACCCTGGCGGAAAAGCTTCTCTGTTTGGTCCACCTGCAGCTCCCCCATGATCTCCTCTTTGAGCTCCTTCTTGAGCTCTCCCTTTAGCTGCTCCACCTTCACCGGCAGCTGTTGCTGCCAGTTCTGGTTGAAGCGTTCAAATTCTGACTTTATAAAAGTCATAAGGGACTCGAGGGTGACCGGTGAGTCACCCATGGCTTCCGTGGCCGCCGATCCGAGCCCTTGTCTCGCCGCCGTCCGTATTTCGCTCTTCTGTGCTTTCGCTATACTGCAGTCCTCGCTTCTAGGGCTATTTGTGCGTTTGTTGCCCTTTTTTTTCATACGAAGCGTGGGGCATTTCGGTTCGTCACGTATACTTGCATCGCGCGTCGCTTCAGCTGGCCGTGCTAAGAGGAGATATGTTCTAGCATCTTTGCCAGACACTCAGGTTCCCACTTCATATCAGCGTACATATCAGATCTGGTTCGTCGTACACCGGACAGTCCAGCAGGACGTGCTTCTCATGTACAATATGGCTATCAATGCCGCAGCAGCCACACTTGACAACCGTACAACCATACTGCTCGTACCTGCATATCGAAACACCTCATCCTGACATCCGGGGTGAACAACTTTAGCTTATCAAATTTCGTACTCAGCGTGAACTTAGCTGCCCTAGCTGTGTCGTACAACTTCTGGCGGCAGGCATGAAACGGCCGTTCTGGTCCATACACTAAACCCAGATATTGCGCACCCTCCTTACCGGTGCGGCCGCACCATCTGAACTCATTACGCAATGCTTGAACAGCACTCCTTGTGTCGCTGTCGCTCACAAAAGCGACGCATCCACATTTCGACACAATTGGCCGCATCTCAAAAATCATCACAGAACATGTCCACAATGTTGAGCAGCTCCCCCATGCACCCCGGTGTCGTTGCCAGGAAACAAAACGTCATCCGCGTAGAAACCTTGATCCTCATCCACCCATCCTGCTGCCTACTTTACGTATACATCTTCATATTTACCTCTGCATTTCACGAGCCGCCGCCAGCGCGTTTCGAACCTGCGACGGGACAGGCTATGCCACGGTGGAGACCGGAAGATGGTAAAAATGGATTACGGCCCGAAAACAACAGCAGCAGCAACAGCAGGTACTGTACACGCGTATAAACACTCCATAAGCACTCCTATGACACAGTAGATTTAATATGGCCCTCCGACCAGCATGTAGAACATGTATGCGTATAACAAGCAATATTATACGCCTGCGTGTTTGTGCACCCATCATAGACAGACAGACGGACAGACAGACATGAACGCGCACATATCGCGTGCACGTGTACGTACCTGCAGCTCAGAGCCAAGCTCGAACACACCGCCTTCAGACACCTCGACGGCTGCAGCGGCGGCGGCGGTACGAGCCGCCAAGCTTGGAATCCCTGACGGCGACGCCGACGGTGAGGACGACGACACTGCCGTCGTCGCCGCAGCTGTCGCCGCAGCAGCATCCGCCGCCAACACCGCCGTCGTCGTCGTCGCCTCTGACGTGGTAGTCAGTTCCCCGTCACCATTGCGAGTAGTGTTTCCGTTCCTCATGGTCACCGGGACGATGTCCTTACCTATAAAGTAAGGTGATGAAAGTCAGAGGCAGTTTTAATTCTAGCACGCAGTCGTACCCGTTGCTGCAGCAAGAGCAGTAGCAAGAGCAGTAGCCTAAGAAATCGCCGTTATGCCGCCGACAATATCCCAATTCCAATTCATAGCGGTGCGTGGATTACGTGAATCCTGATCCATATGATATGCGTGACATGCATATGGCATGGCAGACGGTATGGCAACGTACGTACGGCAGTGCGGCGGTGCACGGCGTGAGACCTCTCACCTTGATGCGCCATGAAATCGTGCAACATGAACGGCTGCTCCCCAAACCAACCTAGATGGTCCTGCACACGTGTATATACGTATATACAGACAGACAAGCAGATGATGACAACCAGCACATTACCACGACCACGACCATCATCAAACGCGGTAACCATTATGGCCCAGGGCGTTGACATATAGCGCCTGGTAGCTAGGTTGCGGCGGCGGCAGCAGCAGCAATGGGTGCAAAGGGAAAACGATTTCACTTGGGAAATGCATACATATTCGCTCATAATCGCTCCCCACACATATATACATACATACATACTACCGATGCCGCTCCAAAACCCTGCCTGCAAGCTCCGCGACACTCAGCTTCGCTTGTAGACTCCAGCAGGAAACAATCGATTAAGCCAACAACACCCAAGCAACCGGCAAGTTTGTTGCCCAGACTTCCTGGACGCCGAACCAGCCAACCAACCAATCAACCAGCGCCAGCCACCCAGCCACATACCGCGACAAGGTGCAGCTTCCGACAGCCGGGGCACCGGACGAGTACGACACCATGAGTGTACGACTGCCTGCATCGCAAAGCCGTAGCTGTAGCCGTCGTACGCCAATGCGATGTATGCGTAAATTTCTAGACTGACGAACAGTATGCATTACATTAATTTACTATCGGGAAATCCACAGGAAAAAGACGACACGCACAATCTTTATCCGCTAAGACATCAATATCGTGATAAAGAGTGTGTCATGTTATTAGGCTAGACGTAATCGCAAAAGAAGTTACGATAAAAGCAGCATTTCCTGTTCTTTGCGCTCCCGACCCGGCAAGCGCACGCGCGTCTGCTCCGCCCCTGGCCTGCTCCTCCTCCTGGCTCCATCCTCTTCGCTCGCGCGTATATCTTACCTGTCCGATCCTGCCCTATCGCACAACCACCAACTGCCAACCGCCAACCAGCACTGACCCTCTCAAGAGCCGACTCACTTGCTGAAGGACTTTGTGCTTCGCGTTTCGCACTTGCCGCACGTGAACACCAGCATGAGGCGCGGCTGAATCTGGCCAAGTGTTGCCCCCATGTCGCCGCCGCCGCCACCACGATTGCCATCGCCGCCGCCAGAGCTGCCAGAGCCGCCCGCTGCTGCTGCTGCTGTCGCCAACGAATCGGCTGCTGCTGCTGCTGCTGCCGCCGCCGCTGTCGTACTGCTGTTCTCCGACGAATCCCCTCGTGCATCTCCGGGGTCAGGCCGCAGACCCGCTGCGACGCTGTCGTCACCCCGGAATTCCCCCGGGCCCCCAGTGCCCCCGGTGCCGCCGCCGGCAGTAGCACTATTCGTGCTGTAGCTTGCGTTGTTGGCGATGCCACTGCCTGCCCTGTAATGCCACTGCCACTGCCACTGCCTGCTCGTGCTACTGCTGCATCTATCAATGCTACAGCTGCTGCTGATCCTATCAGCTCTTCTAGCATCGTCACTGTCGGCGATGACCAACCCTGGTTGCCGGGAAAAGGCGCCGACTGTGACCGCGGCGGCGCTGCTAACTGTGCGTTCGCGGCCCTGACGGCGGCCGGTAGCTGTAGCTGTGGCTGCAGCTGCACCGGAGGTTGCACAACCGCCAATAGCCGCAGTGACTGTGCATGGTGAAGGTGAGGAGGACGAGGAGGACGAGGAGCACATGGCGGCGGCGCTGGTAACCGGGCCTGTTCTGAAGATCGGGGAGGGCGCGCTGCAGCGGCAGTAGTCGAGCGGCGCCTGAGGGTGATCGTTGCGTTGTTGAGGTTGTGGCTCTGCCGTTGTCGAGGTTGTGGTTGTAGTTGAGGTTGTGGCCTGCCGCTCTGGGCTCAGACGGGATACTCCCTGATGTCGGTCGGCAAGGCATCAAGATGCTATGTGGAAATCTGGGAAAGGCTGAGACATGGTTGCGTATCAGATCTTATGATGACTTTGAATGTTCTCGGGGGGATATGGGTGAGGTGAAGAAGTTTTACCTAGGGCAAAGGTAAAAATATGCGGGGATGGGTATGTGGGCCGGTGTGGGTTAAGAGGAACGAAAGCGACGACGCTGACCAGATGAGCATTTCGTCGGGGAGGGGAGGGAGTGGGAAGGGAAAGCGTGTGAGGCGTTGATGTTGATGTTGGGGGAGGGGGTGCTAAGGGTAGCTAGCTTTTCCTGCACCGCACCCCATGGCCCGCAGCGCGAGGGAGAGCGTGCGTTGAAGATGATGTTTTGAGGAAGGGGGATAAGGGGGTGCGCAGGATAATAATGATGGCCTTGGACGTAAGGAAAGGCGTCAGACGACCACATGAAGGACTCCGACGTGGGAGTTACTGGCCGGTAAGGTCAATAAAACGCGTAGGACCATCTGCCCACCATGTTGAAGGAAGAGCAATCTTGTGGATTCGTGCCCGCGGCTGGGGAGCTGTTTTCCTGCAATGTAGCTCCCCAGGTCGCCAAAGCACGGAACCCATTCCACGCGGAACAGTTCACGGTTGTGCTCATGCAGCTTCGAACAAATCGTAAGGAGAAGCATTTGATAAAAGGTCTGGACGCCATTTGGGCTTAGTTGCCTCAGACGGAGAATGAATATCAGAGCAGCAAAATTACCCTTACGAAAAGCAGGAAGGAGTAACGGGGAAGTTGATCAACACCACCATCGGCAAGGCGCAAAATCGCGTTACAAAACCAGGAGTGTGCGCCTAGCCGCTAGCCCGAGCCATAAATTGTCGCGAACGACTGTACGGCTGCAAGATGCAAGCACAAATCAGTCGCTAATTATAACCTTTTCCTGTTTTATTGCTATCAAATTACAGGACAAAAGCAACGCTTTAATCTTTGTCAATTGATATTTAGGATTGTAATTACCTGCGGCACGCAGTTCAGTTTCCAGTGTTGTGCGAAAATGTCTGCGATGGCCACGACCTCATCACGTAGCCTCCGAGCCTGCCAACCAAAGGCGTTTGGAATTCAGCGCCCGGCGCGCAGCTTTTGCATCCCCGCGCGGGCCACCCGGACGACCTACAAGGTCAGTTTACATTAACGTAGGAAAGCAGTGTTCCTTAGTTCCTTTGACCTCATCATTTAGGAGAAAGCATGGCAAGAATGCTTTCCGCAACCTGGCAACTGGACACCTGCCATTCCTGACGATGCCAGGCAAAATCCTCCCGGCCACACAATTCGTGCATGTGCCATTGCCCACAGATTGAAGTTGAGCACGAAGGCAAGAAGTTTGATCTGGCAGTACCCGAGGGCGAGTCCATTTTGTCCGTGGCTCTGGATAAGGGGATCGACCTCCCGCACGACTGCAAACTGGGCGTGTGCATGACGTGTCCGGCAAAGCTGGTGGGTTCGGGGAGACGAACGCCCATCGTGCGTCTACCCGCATTTCCTTCCAGGAATAGGTTGAGTGTGATGCATCCGGGAACGGGAAGCTTGGGCGCCCTAGGCTGGGCGCCTTTTAATCCCCGCGCAGCCCAGGCATGTTGGCCTGTATGCCTCAGCCAATTGCCGTGTTCCCTGTCCGGGTGATGTTTTTGGACTATATCCCCCGTTCCGCCATTTCTGGGCCGTTGTTTGAGCATTCGGGTCGGTTTTGCCTTGTTTTTGTGCTTTGTTCTCACCCAGTGTGCTGTCCAACCCCACTGCTTTACTGGGCTTATATTGTCTCGCCCCGGCGCATATGGAGCAGACCTGTGTCTTTGCCCTTTAAAAGTACGGCGAGTAACCCAAATTGCAGCCAAGCAGGTTTTGCACTTTGCAGTCTTACCCATGGACTCTTGTTTGCCTGCCTGCCAAACCACCAGCCTGTCGGTATCCACCGTACGGTCGCTGTGTAACCTGCATTAGGCATCTTGTTGTATATTCGGCTTTACCTACTTCGAACGTGTGTAAACCGCAGGTGAGTGGCAAGGTGGATCAGAGCGGTTCCATGTTATCGGATGACGTGGCGGAGAAGGGCTACACGCTTCTCTGCGTTGCAACGCCCAAGTCCGACTGCAAGATTATGACCATCTCCGAGGTAATAATGAACCGCTTGGGGTTTCGGGGCTGACGGCTTTGCGATGAAATGTGTGAAGACGTGGAATTGGGTGCTCCCCGCAATGATCGCCTGGGCGGTGTGGACCTCTAGATAAAAACATTTTCCCACTGTCATCTCCAGAGGCTGAGGTCCTTTGTTGTTAAAACGCAAAACTCTATGGTGGCATGCCTGTTGGAATCCAGTTTCGTAGCGTAATTTAAGTGTAAGTGCCTTTCGCCCGTGATGTCGTACAGGACGAGCTGCTGGACCTGCAGCTTGTGGCGGGAGCTTAATTGGAGCCGCATCTTTGGGCCCAAAAGATGGCGTCTCGCTCGGCGCTTGAGGCCGGCATGTGCGGCAACAGAGGCAACGTCTGGCTTTAATTGCCTGCGGGACGACAGATGTTTCAAAAACGCTGTTTCAAGGCAGATGATTATTGCAGGGGGTGGATTTAGAATGACCACGTAACGTTTAGTTACGTGTAACGTGCTTGGAGTGTAGAGTGCAGGAGGTGGCTGTGGGCGAGGTCCTCCGGAAAACAGTTTTGGCAGCGAGCGATGTCGATTGGCGCGATCTGACGAGATGTGCTAACATTAATTAATTGCGAACAAGGATGGCTTTTGTGTAGTCGCCTATGTTTGAGGGACGTGCGTTTTTTCTTGGGTTCAAACAGTGGGATTTACCGGGGGAAGTACGGCGGCACATCCAGCGGGTCTTGTGTGCTGATGGAGGCCACGCATGGTTGCCTTAGCATGAAATGTAAAAAAGCATTAGCTCCACCTGCTTGCGCACATGACTTTGCAGGAACAGGTATATGCTTTGCTTTACTGCAATCCACGTGGTTAACCCATAGGCTTGAGCTCCTTATTAATATTGTTACAGCCGTAAACCTGCGAAATAATTTATGTGATATTGTCCATCGCGCTGGGTGACCTAATGGATTTTAATAATCACAGTCGTGCCCTTTCCAAGGTTCCACGTTGCCTATCGCACGTGTACCCACTCTCAAACAGTACATGGTAATTCATTAGGCAATACCATGACGACGTTTGGCTCTTTGCCTGGAATGATGATAACCTCTTGCAGCAGGCTTAACAGTTCATTCCAGTCGACATAACGCTATGAGTCGCACAAGCCGAACCTAAAGCCGTGTGCAAAGTTTAAAGTAGTAGGCAGCTTGATCGTGCTGGGAATGGAGGCGGAACAGGGAGAGAGCCAAGACTATGAGGCTGCGGAGGGTTTACCCGTTATTTGGACTAAGCATGAAGGCACCTGCATTGATTCCATGCTTGGGTGTCGGAGGGGATCGGCGCCTTTACGCTGCAAGGTATCGTAGCCATTAATTGCAGGCCCGCAGGCCTGACGGCGTTGCGTTCGAGAGAGTTTCTGTGCAATAAGTGCGACTTTCACGATCATAGTGTCTGTATTCTGACGGGAGAAACGGAATGCTGAGGAGTTCTGAGGAGTTCGCATAATTGCAGGTTTCCGGCTGCACCAGCGACCTGACGTCGGCGCCAAAGACCCATCAGCGCTTCCGCTTGTGCAATTTGCACATAAAGGCTCCAGTTATATTGGTCGATGGAGTGGCTTCGCGATTTTGCCAACAGTGCAGCAGGTTCCACCCGCTGAAGGAGTTCCATGGCTCTAATCGGTGCGTGTGAGGCCTGCGGACTTCTTACTATGTCTTAGCGGTACATAACGCCGTAGATAACCTGCAATTTAGTAGGATGATGCTCGGGTTGGGCATACTTGTGCAGCGCTAGGGTTCTTCTGTGGCCCTTCAGATGATCCACGTCCACCAGTCCCCGTGACACTGCCCAAGACCGTGACCCCAAAAATCATGTCGGTTATCGAACCTCTCATTAACCCGATCCCACACGTTCCTCCGGCCGTCTCCTCTCGCACGGCCCGCAGCACCTGCCGCATGATGCTGATCAAAAACCGCGCTCGCCAGCGCGGTATGGGTACGGCATGCACGTCGTCACTGTACGATAGCAGCACCGCTGTCATATCCGCGATCCGCAAGCGCTCCCTGCCGCTGGTCACCCTGCCGCCTGTGCTCAAACCAGCACCAGCAGCACCAGCACCAGCAGCAGTGACGGCGGCCGCGGTGGCGGCGGCAACAAGGACAGCAGCGACGGCAATGGAAGTGGGCCCCGCCACCGCCACTGCCACTGCCACCACCGATTCATCATGGATATCAACCCACGCAGCTGCCCGCCATTTCGCCCGTCCGTCACCTGCGTCTGAGACGCCCCCTGATGCGGCCGTCGCAGTAACGCCCGTAGCGCAGCTGGCCAAGCCGGTTTCGGAGCCGTTGTCGCACGCGCCGGCCGCCGTATCGAAGAAAACCGCAACCTTTGAGCCGTCGAACAGAGCAGCCGTCGCAGCAGCGGCCCTGGCGCCGGCAGCGGTAGTGGCGTTGGCGGCCGCAGCAATGCCCCACTGTGCTTGTGTGGTTTCAGACGCCACGTCCCACCCCTTGCCGCAGACGCCTTCATGGGGCGCTCTGGGGGCTCATAGCACCGCCGCTGGCGGCGGCGAGGACGCACCAGCAGCCTCGACGGCGCTGACGGCGACGGCGGCGGGGGGCGGCATGGGAGCCGTTTGGGGAGGACAGATTCATGTCACTGCCGACGGCGGCGCCGCTGCAGCTGCAGCTGGATCTACAGCAGTCATGGCTGCATCGCCTGCAACGGCCAGCTGTATAAGCTGCTCCTCGAGCAGCGTTGGCGCGCAGGCGTCGGCGTCGGCTGCCGCTCCGTTACCGTGCCGCCCGCCAGCGTGGGCAACATCCGCAGAGGGTCCCGCCGCCGCCGCCGTACCAGCAGCGTCACGGCTGAGTCCCTTTGCCCGCTGTTCTGCACCGTCAGTCCTGTGTCAACCGAATGGCGCCTCCGGCATTGCCTGGGCCGTAGCCCCGCCCTCAGCTGCAATATCCCCATTTCTGGCCGCCGCGCTCCGAAACCGCTGCAACGGTGGCCATTCAGAGTGGCTGTTAGCTGGGGATCAGCTTCCGCTACAGGAGCAGCAACAGGAGCAGCAACAGCAGCAGCAGCAGCAGCAGCGAAACATGCTTCAGATGTTGCAAGGCCGCAAGTTTATGAAGTACGGCGGTACCGCCGCCGTCGTGCACCAGCCGTACCTGTGTTACGAACCCTCGCTACAGCGTATCCTGCAGTCTAGACAGGCCAGCTTGCCACGCGGAGCATCGTCGGTGGGTAGCGGCGGCGGCGGTGGGGATAGTGGCAGCGGCGGCGGCGGGGACAGTAGCAGCGGCGGCGGCGGCGGGCCTGATGGGGTCGACGGTGACGGCGGCGGCTTGCCGCGAGATTGCGACGGCGGCTGGTGGGGTACGGATGACGGACCGACCGATGAGGGATTTAAGAGGTCAGGCGGGTACAGCGGCGGCAGCGGCGGCGGAGTGAATGCGGCAGCCGCCGCCGCTTGCCCGTTGTTTAGCCGCATGTCGGCGCCGCCGCCGCAGGAAGTCGCGAGCCAGCATCAGCTGTCGGCGGAGCTTCGGTGCAACAGTACGGGCAGCATTTTCTACAGGCGCAGCGCCGCCGCCGCCGCGGCGGGACCCTCGGTGCTGGGTGCTGGGCCCCGCGCCACTGGCGGCGGCGGCAGCTTCACGGGCTTGCAGAGTGTCGGTAGCTTTGGCAGCTTCAAGCGGCGGCGGAGCTTTGTGTTTGAGGACGCGGCGGCGGCGACGGGGGGCGACGACGATGGTGCCGCTGCGAGCGTACGGCACTGCAGCAGCGCGGGCCCGACTGAGCCGGCGCTTGACGCTGCCGTGGCGAAAGCAGTGGCGGGGGCGGCGGCGGCAGGGACAACGTTACTGCCATCACCTTTTTCCCACGGAGGAGGATTGCAATTGCAAGGCTCTCTGGATCATCATCATTATTATCAGCAGCAGCAGCAGCAGCTATGGCAGCAGCGGCAGCTTTGCCATTTGCGGCAGCGCGACAACCTAGGTGGGCAGAGCAGCGCCCATGACGCAAGGGGAGCTTCAGAAGACAGGCCTGGGTCGCCCATCGGGGTTGTACGGCGGGATTTTGGACTGGTTTCGGAGGACGTTGGTAGCGATGGTGGTGGTCCTGCGGGTATGGTTGAAGATGGAGACATTGGCAGCGGCGGCGGCGAAAAGCCCCTTCAGGCGTCGCCGATGGGGCAACGGCAGCTCGCACTTGCGCAGGGGGAAGGGAGCAGCATTGGTCGACGGTCCTCCTTGGCCGTGGCAACGGCAGCGTCGTCGCCGTCGGCGGCGGCTGAGCTTTTTACAACGTGCGCGTTGTTGCCGTCACCGTTTTCTACTGCTACTGCTCGCACTGCTGCTACTGCTGCATGCGGCGGAGTGGGGCGCGATTCCGCGCCATTGACACCGCGGGGGGCGACGATGCTCGTCCTTGGTGCGCTCGTCCTGGACGAGAAGGCCGAGCGTCGTGGATTCGATTCCACCAAGGGCACGGCCGCAGCGGCGGCGGCGGCGGCGACGGCCACGTTTGCAACGACGGCGGCAGCGGCAGGGCCAGAAGGTACGGCAGGTGACGCAAATGCCGCCGACGGCGGCGCAGCAAAAGCCGATGCCGTCAGCGCAGCGTCTCAAGGTGATAGCATCTTGATCGCAAAGCTGGCGGCAGAGTGGGGCTCTGAAGGGAAGCCCGACAGCGGCGACGACGATGATGACATTCGGGTGCTGCTGGGTGGCGTTTTGGAGGAGGTGGAAGGACTGACACGTCATCATCGTGATGCTGACGTGGCTGTCGTTCCCTGGACGACGGCAACAATGACGCCGGCGGTTCCGCTTAGGCCGCCGCCGCCGCCGCAGCCGTCGGCGCAAACGGAGCCGCAAGTCACGCTGCTGCTGCCGCCGCTACTGCCGTCTCTCATCACCGCCGACGCCGCGACGGCAAACCGCAGCTCGCCGGGTGTGTACGGGGCGCCGTCAACGTCATCCCTGGCGGCAGTAGCACCAGGGAAGATAGCTGTAACAGCAGTAGCGCCTCCAGGTCCTTTCACGCGCTCTTCAACTGTCGCGGGGTGGGTCCCGTCGTCAAGGGGGGGCGTGCAAGGCGCCCACGCCGCCGCCATTGTCGCTGACGCTGCCGCCGCCGGCGCCCTGGCGGCAAGGTCACCCACGACAGGAGAAGAGCTGGTGACGGCCGCGGCGGGGTCCATGCCGCTGCTGCTGCAGCCGTCGCCGCCGCTGCTACAGCTGCAAATTGGCGGCGGCGGCGCCGCCGCCGGCGCCGGCGGATCTCATCCGGACTCGTTTCAGCAGCTCTTGCCCATGTGGGTTCGCAGCGCTCAAAGTGAGCCCATGTGGAGTACCCGCAGCGGCAGCACGGTATGCCGACAGCAGCAGCAGCAGCAGCCTTCTGCTCACATTCAGGAACAGTTAGTGCAGCTACAGCTACAGCTGCAGCTACAGCAGCAGCAGATGCTAATACAGCAACAGTCGATACTAATACAACAGCAGCAGCAGCAACAACAACAGCAACAAGGACAGCAGCAGCAACAACAAGGGCAACAGCAACAAGGACAGCAGCAGCAGCAGCTAACACTCACCTCCACGCAGCAGGAGACGTGTGCAGCCGCAGGGGCAGCCCCAGCCTTGGTGACGGCGGCGGCGGCGGCGGGGGCACCGAAAGGAGCGGCAGTACGAGTACCGGGAGCCGAATCAACCGCTGCGGCAACGGGAGACGTGCCAGCAGCCAATCCAATAGCAGCAGTAGGGGCAGTAGCTCAAAGCCGGCGACAGCGGTGCGTTCGGGAACGGGAGCGGCAGCGGGATCCAGCAGTAGCAGCAGTAGCAGTCGGGAAGTCATCATTGGAGTCATCGCCGGGCTCGGGCAGTAGCACTGCCACGAGGTCCATCAGGAAGAAGGCAGTTGGCGAGGAGACGGAAGAGCAGCTACAGCTGCTCCTGGGGGATCTCATAGGTGGCTGTAGCACCAAGCCGGCGGCATCGCCGCCGCCGCTGCCAGCCTCCGCCACAATTGCAATGACGCCTCAAGTACCTGGCCAACAGCTGTTGCAGCCAGGCAGCAGCGCAGCTACTGGCGGCGGCGGCGCCGCCGCCGTCACAGCGGCGCAGCAAGTGGTGGAGCAGCAGGGTACTATAATGCGGCAGCGGCCGGCGGCGGCGGCGGCGGCAGGCGCTGGTGCAGACAACGGGTCTTGGCCAGCGGTAAAGGGCCCCGGCGGCGGCGCCGCAAGCACCTGCTACCCGCTATCATCGTACCACTTAACGGCGGCGGCAACGGCGGCGTCAGCCTCACCGCTAAGGCGAGGCGAGGAAGAAGGGGACGGCGCCGGCGGCAGCGGCTGTGGAGGCGGCGGAGGCGAAGGTGAGCCCAGGACTTGGCAGCAGCAACAGCAGCAAGTGCAGCAGCTGCAGCTGCCGAAGGACTACGCTGTAGCATCAGCCTGGACGCCGAGTGCCGTGCATGTCGTCGTGCCGGCGGCTGCTGAGGATGGAGCTGAGGGGCCTCTGCTCCCCGGGGGCCAGCAAGTGCCGCAGCTACAGCTGCAGCAGAAACAGCAGGTAGAGCAACAGCACTTACAGTGTCTGCCGCAGCAGAAGGAGCAACAGCTGATGATGCAGCAGCAGCAGCAGCAGCAGCCTCCTGGCTGGGCAGGGTTGCCATGTCTTGGA